TGAATACTTTAGACAAGAATCTCTATCCCAGCCGATGTTCATCTTAAATTGGCTGGGGATGACGATACCATCGTGCCCACAGATCATACAATGCCTTTCCAATAGTTGCTTTTACCGAATGTGGACTTTCGCTTCCACTCGATCCCTCTTTCGTCAAGTTCTCCATTTCTATAGGCTGAACCCTATGCAACTTACTATCACTCCTATAGGTAATTAATGGTATTATTGCCTTAGCTAGGCAAGAAACCTTAGAATCACCCTAGCCGACCTTCAATATTGTTATACCATGTGTCCTCTCGATCTGAAGGATAGGGGTTTTGTCTATTACCTTAAGCCAGATCCACTCAGTACAAGATTATAGCCGACTTTCAGATTCCAACAAGGGGGCTGGAGATGACTTCTTTATTGCCTCTGGAAATTGGGAATTTGGGCCCAGATGAAGATGTCCAACCTCTACCCTCTTCCTCGAACACTTACGAGGGCAAGAGTAAGAGCCCTGAGTCAATACTTAGTTGTTTTCATTCAACACTTAAATACTTTGTGTTTCTGACGTCTGATTCTTTGCAGATCTTCATCAACCACCGAAAAATTTTCGTCATCCTTCTTCCCAGGAACAGATCTGAAAACACTTCTTGGCCTCCCAATCCATAAACGAAAAGCCCCAGTATTACTAAACTTCATCCTACATACAAATCCACCTTACCCGACGTCCCAAGAAAAAGGAAAAAAGAGCCTTTCTCCACCTACAGCCACAACCTTAACTGCTTCACATCCCGAACGGATCAAGAATCCACATCTGTCCAGCCGATCTTCCATCAACTTCGGCCCCCTACTTTAATTCCAATTCCAGAACGTAGACGCCGAAGAAGCTTGTAAAAACAGCCGAAATGGTTCGTTCAAAGCCTGTCGTCCAAGATCTTTCTTGCCGATATTCCGACTGACGCCGAGTTTTCTTAGTGCCGGCTTGTACTTCTAAGCTTGTTGCACCCAGTGGCCTTGTCGGCGTTCCGTTAAAGCCGACCATCGGGCCGCTTGATTGTTCTAGGTCATCGGGGTGAAGGCCTAGCTCTTTGTAACATCTGACGTACATGATATCACAGGAGCTGCCTTGGTCTATTAGGATGCGTTTTACTTGGCACTCCCCAACCTGGAGGGATACTACCAAGGCATCATTATGCGAATGTTGGACTAATTCTAGGTCGGCTTCGGTAAAGGCTATCATTGGCCCTTGGCATTCTTCTGGCCGATGTCTTTTTTCCCCGACTTGGTAGATATGCTGTAAATGTCTTACCCTCTGGGTCTCTCCTCTGACTTCGCTTTCGTTAACCTTTGAGTGGATCATGTTAACTACCCTCGGTCCTCCTGCTTGTGGTAGTTGTGCTGGGGGAGGCGGTGCTGCTGGTGCTTGAGGGAACCTTGCCTGTTCTTCCCTTGTTCTGGCCTCATCGACCAGGTCCCTCAGGAGGCCTTGTCTTACTAGGTCCTCCAAGTGTGCTTTTAAGGCTCTGCAACCTTGAGTTGGATGCCCTTCTTCATTGTGGTAGGCGCAACGTCTGCCGACGTTTCTTCCCATGAATTCCCCTGGTGCTCTTTCCGGAGCCCTGAAATATGGTTGATTTCGAATCCGATCCAAGATTTTATGGATTGGGATCCGGAATACCGTTGTTACCGCCTGTTTGTTTCTCAACTCTATTTCTTGTTTGGCCGGCCCATTGTTGACTCGGCCTCGTTTTGGCGAGCCGTTTCCCTTTTCTTGCTTCACCTCTTTGTTTCCCGACGTATCTTCCTCGGCCCTGGCGTATTTCTCAATTCTTGCCATGAGTTCTTCCATGCTTTTTGGCAATGTTTTTGCCAAAGACTTCCGTAGTGGGCAGTCATCTTTCAGGCCGTTTTTGAAAGACACGACTGCTACTTCCTGGTTGCATTCAGGTATTCGGTTGAACACCTCGTAGTATCTCTTCGCATAGGCCCTAAGGCCTTCTTCCTTGGTGATTCTTAGAGCCATCAAAGCATCAACCCTCAGGGGTTGCAGCTTGTTGGTTACGAATCTGGCCACAAACATCTCGGCCAAGCCTTCCCATGTCTTTATACTTCCTTTTGGTAACTTGTGGAACCAATCAGATGCAATTTCCCCAAAGGATGAGGGGAATACTTTGCAGAGCAACGGCTCGTTTCCGCTATATAATGCCATTGAATTTAGGTACAGCCCGACATGAAAGTTTGGATCTGACTTACCATCATAGATTTGAAACCTCGGCATACTGAATCTTTTGGGTGGTTCGAATTTGTCCAGTTCCACCGAGAAGGCTGTCTTCGGTTTTACTGGAGAGTTTACCTCGGCTTCCGCGTTCTGCTGCCTCCTTTTGAGGTAGTCCCTTAGGTCTTCTTTTCTCCTCCCTGGAGCTCGGCTGTCTCTGGATTTTAATCTTTTTGGCACACTGCTTTCGGCCTCGAGGTGGGTCCGTTTGGGTCTTTCTTCATGGGTTGTGTCAAAGTGGAGTATTTGCCCCTGAACATGTCGATGTTCTTTGGGGTCTGGATTCTTCATGTGTTGCGTCCTTCGGGACTCTTCTTGCCTCGGCTTTTCTCGCCCGACTTCCCTGGAAGGCCGGTGAGAGTGCCTTCCGCTCCTGGTATGCTGAGGAACCTCGGGGATTGTTTTTCTTCCGCCCTTTTGGGTATTGGTCGCTGGTATCGGCGTATCTTGCAGCGGGTATGGTGGCTGCATTACATTGTTTTGCATCATGAAGTTGACGACTGACTGAAGGTCTGCCAACTTGTCCGCCAACTCTTTTACTTCCTCATCCCTCCGTAGGCACCTGTCCCTCCATATCTGGAGGTTATCTTCATTGTAGTACGTTCCTTGGTTTGTTCTTTTTGACGTGTCGCCTTCCAGGTTTACGTCGTTTTCCCTGTGGCCCTGGCCACGGGCTTCTGAATTGTGGTTGTCTCCTTCAATGTCGAGGCCGATTGGTCTGCCATTCCCAGTGGGAGCGTCATCCCCAATATTTTCCTGTTGTCCGTTAGTGGCCATCTATTCTTCCTTCGTTCCCACAGACGGCGCCAAATTGTGTGGGTAAAAATCTGACCACACTGCCCGTTTAGTGATCAGCAGCAAAGCACCGGCAGAATAGATGGCTCCAACAACCTGTAACAGAAAGGAAAAGCTCCGGCGGTGGTTCTTCCACCCGGGGGCACTCCGACGATCAAGTCAGTATGTTTCTCAAGGATAATCAAGTATTAAACTGAATACTCAAAGTATGAATTACATACCTTAGACCCACGGGGGTGCCTCTCTTTTATAATATACTTAATCCAAGTCCAACTAGAAATATGACTTCTATGTACCCCAATCTTAGTACTTACTCTGGACTCTTTAGGAGATAAAGATAAACTCCCTAAGAGGTTTATCCTTATCTTAATTAAGTCCCCTCTTTGCTTCAGGACTCCTGTCTCTTATCTTCGGATTCCGACATCTTCGGAGATGACCTCGGCTTCTCCGAGATTACCTCGGCTTCACTACCAGGGCACGTGGCACCTCGGCTGACACGTCGGCGTCACCATGCCACGTGTTGGTATTAAGAAAATATGTCCCCACAATAAGCATGCTCGTAGAAAAGTAAAAACCAAATTTATAAGCACATAAGCATTTGACACTAACAAGAAAGAGTAATTCTCAAATAATGCACTATTTAAATGACAAAATAAGAACAACTCTAATAATATATTATTATTAATTTAATTACTGTGCCCTTTAGTTTTTATCAAAAAAAAAAAATGATATAGAAAATAATTGATCGATGATACTCTACAAAAATTGTGAAACCCTTTTAATGTGAATACTTACCTCTTTCTTGATGGGTTGTTTCAAAACATGATTTTAATTATTACTTTAATTCATTATTTGATTTTGTTCAAACTTTCTTCTACTGTTTAAGGTTTCAAAATAATAAAAAACAATGATATTGATGATAATTGTGAGTTTTGGTAGGATAGATTGAAGTTTTGGAAGGAGGAGGAGAAAGAAGAAGAAGAAACAACTTTGATTTCTTGAAGAAGAAGATATAGAAATTTAAATAGGAATAGAAATAACTGATTAGGATATACATGAGAAAAAAAAAATATTTATTTTAAAATTTAATACATATTATTCTTATTAATAAAATTCTATTAAGATATATTAAGAATTAAAATTTATGAATTTAAATTGTACATGCTCACATATATTTCGGAGTCAAATAGAATCCCCCGTCCAAGGCTCTATAGTCTCCAGGGCAAGTCTAGTCTACAGGCCCATTAAGAACCCATATGAAGCCTGAAGCATTTTAGCAGAGCATATATAAAGCCACCCTCTTTGCTAGGCCGCTCTCAGACTGAAATCTAGGGTTTTTGCTTCTTCATTCGTCTCTCTTCTAAATCAACCTATTTCTCAAAGATGGTACTCTCGCTCTCTCTCTTGATTCTGAGTATCTTAAAGTTCGGTTTTTTATGAACAGATCTGTGAAAACAGGTGATTTTATACATGTAATTTGATGAATTTGTGGAAATGTTAGAGATTTGTTTATATATTGCTTCCTTAATTGATTTTGTTTTAAAAATAAATTAATGGGACCAATTGGAATTCAATTATGAAAACTGATTGTTAGTTGTTGAATTCATCTCTTTAGATTGAGCAGAGAGAAGTTTTGAGAGTGATGCTGTGTGAAGAGTTTTGAGTAGAAGTAGAATACCACAGCATATACACAGCATACATAAAAGGCTTGATAGTTGATGGGTTTAATGCTTGACATTCATGGAAGAAGTGATACTAGTATGGTTATGGATATGGATGATAAGATGGTGTAAATTTTTGGTTTACAAAAATGTAGTGATTAAGTAGTGGAGAACAAGCTGGTGTAACAATTTTTCAAGATTAATAGTGATGGTAGCCCATCCTTGGAGTGTAGTAGAATCAGTGTAGGTGAATTGTGGTAGATAGTTGCTGAAATGTTAATTGTTCTGGGTCAATTTAGGTATGTTGGATTTGTTGCAACTTGGATAGGCCTGTTATTGGATTGCAAAAGGGTCTATTTCCATGTCCTCCTTGTCTCCTCTTTTTTTTTTTTTTTCTCTTCTTTTATAATAAAAAGAAATAAACAAATAATATATGATAATCACTTATGCTGTTTTTGCAAGAAACCTATATGGACAAAGCAGCCATTATTATGGAGTTATTTGTTTTCATAAGATGATCCGTTTTGCTTACTCTTCCATTGTTGCTTATTGTGATTTTTGACGTTCTTCCTTTCCTACTATCAAAGAATATTATGTTTGCTTCAAGGAGAAATGTCATTCATTTATGGTGCTTTCTATACGGCACATATTCATTTCTTGTACTTTTAGTCTTACCCTTGAAAGTAAGAATACAAATTTCTTATTGTTGTTTCCATAGAACTTTGTTCATAATGCTGTCTTGAGTTGGTGCTATATGCATTGTCTATTTGTTATTGCATTGGTTATTTTTTAAAACCTTAAATGTTTCATACCATGGTTCATAGCAGTAGTTTCACTATGACTTCTTCACTCTATGCAGACCAAAAGAACCAAGAAGGCGGGTATTGTTGGGAAGTATGGTATGTGCTTACCATGGAGGTTTTTTCTTTTGTTTTGTTTGTAGTTTTATTTATTTATTTATTTTTTTGGTCTGTTTAAAATTTTTGCATTTCAGTAAAATCAAAAGAAAATATGGTTAAGAAAAGGCTGCCATACTTAACTGACAAGTGGCAACATTTCAGGTACACGTTATGGGGCTAGTCTTCGGAAGCAGATTAAGAAGATGGAAGTCAGTCAGCACAGCAAATACTTTTGTGAGTTTTGCGGCAAGGTGATTTTCCAAATCCTTCCTGTTTGTTTGTCATCATAGTTTGTCTGGGTCCTGTCTGTTGCATGTGATCCTCATAAACAAAGGTTTGGTGGTTTTCTTGAGGCTGTCCATTTGCATGCAATTTTCTAAACTAAAGGTTTGTTGTTACAGTATGCTGTGAAAAGGAAAGCAGTGGGAATTTGGGGATGCAAGGACTGTGGCAAAGTGAAAGCAGGCGGTGCTTACACATTGAAGTAATGATTCTGGACATACTTGTGATGCATTATCTACATATGTTAAGATTAATTATGCATTGTCATATGTATACATATACCCACACATATTTCTCTACATTTGCTAGTATATTTGCTATAATGCATTGAGATAATCTAATGTTGTTTCTTTGACAAATGACAGCACTGCAAGCGCTGTTACTGTTAGGAGTACTATCAGAAGGTTGAGGGAGCAGACTGAGAGCTAGATGTGAACTTGATACGTGAATGGTATAACCCTTGACGGAAAATGCTTTAGATTGAGTGAGATTTTCTTTTTAGTCAATTTTGATGTCTGGGTATGCACCTTGAACTATTAAAACAAAATTTCCTTGTGGTGATGAACTTTCTTGTTATTTTACAAATCATTTTGGGTCATTTTGTTGTGTTGTGCTTTTCTTGTTCTTTTGTTGCTAAGAAAGTTTTTTTTTTTGGTCAGAAAGTTCAAAATTGGGATGGGATTTCTTTCTTGTTCATCTGCATGATTTGTTACCAAAACTAGTGAAATCATTTTTTTTCTGTATTTTTAATTTCAGGGCCTTGTTTTTAATATAATTTTCAAAAAATACCAGAGCCTGCCATGCATGTTCTTAGTTGTATTTTTAAAATTGAAAATTAAACATAAGAACATTAAAAAAAAATGTACCAGATAGGTCCTTAGAGTAACACTTTTTATCCTATTTTGGGAAGTGCCTTCTTTTTTTTTGGTTCTTTGCATCTTTGCCAAAAAACTGTTCCAGTTTTGGTTTTGGAGCACGTTGAAGCAAAAATTATTTGATACTTTTGGAGCATTGTACAGTCTTGCTCTACCATTGCCTGTCAAGTCTTCACACTTTGTTGGTGAATGTTGTGAGTTTGACATGCGGAGCAAGGTCATGTGGTCCTTCGAGAGTGCTAAATAATCTTATCTGGTTACCTACTTTCCTATCCAGTAGGGCCATTCTATTTAATAATGTTATACGACTAATTTTGGATGTCAAAATTTTGATACTATACTATACATAGCTAATGCATTGGTTTAATGGATATCGTCTTTCATGTCTTGTGTCAATGCATTAGCGACGTTACCATATGGTATTTAAAATTTGATATCAGAATTTAATTATCGGAGCATTATTGCAGGACTAATGACATCATTGGGAACCTTGTGGTAAAAATCATTTTTATCCTTTAGAACTGCTGAAAATTTTAAACTTTAAATGGGAACTTGAAAGGTAATAAACTTATTCAGTGTATTTGGTTTGAGTTTTTTGAATTAAGTTTTTTGAAAATTGAATTTTTTGATTTTCGTGTTTTTTTTGTTTTTAGTGAATATTTTTAAAATTTTAAATATTTTTTTTGCTTTTTTAGATGCACCTTACTTAGATGTATCTAAAAAGTAAAAAATTTGTGAAAAAATATTTTAAAAATTAATAAATACATAAAAATACAAAATATGTATTGAATTCTCATATTTTTTTTTTTATATTTTTGGTATTTAGTGAATTTGTAAAAGGTTTTTTTTAAATTTTTTTTACATTTTAGGTATATTTATGTTAGTTATGTCTAAAAATTAAAAAAATTGTTTAAAATATTAAAAAAATTCAGTAAAAATAAAAAAATATAAAAAATAAGAAAGTAGAATTTTTTGAAAAGTGTTTTTGAAAAATGGTAACCAAGCATAGTGATTTGTTTTAGGCTGGGGTTTGCTCCAGTCCAGACTTGAGGTCCAGTCTAATCCATTGGGTTCACTTTTGGACTTTTTTTCGATAATTTAAATCGTTCACATTTTAAGATTTATTGAGTATATTATTCCTACAAAAATTCACGTCGATCAGATAACGGATATTATGTATTTAGATTTTTTTTTTTTATGAATTGTTAATTTTCTGATCATCTATTTTTTTTTTCTAGACAAAAGTGATCCTAAAATGTGAACAGTTTTGATTATCGTCCAAATCCTAAAATGTAAACAGTTCTGATTATCGAATAGTAGTTCAAAAGTGGGTCTAATGGGTCGAACTGGACCGGACTGTCCTAGATTTGGACTGTTAGACTTTTGCAGCAAGGAATGAAAGTTTTTGGACGTATTGGTTTTTTAAATTCCAATAAAGTAGATATGCATTAAATCTAGGATGGATTTTTTTGGATTAGGATAACTTTTTGGTTTTTATTGGTTTCTTAAGATGTGTATTCTATAAATTGGCATTCAAGTCAATGAATGAATCAATATAAATTCTCACCATCTCTTCGTTGCTTAACTTCTCTAACTTCTTTCTTTCTTTTTTTATTTTGTAATTGGTAAAGAACTTTTGAAAGTAAGATCAAACTATACAAGTATTTCTCTTTATGTATTAATTTTAATATATATAAGTGTGTATGGTGTGTTTAATAATTAAAAGAAAGTGTTTAAAATCAGAAAAATATTATTAGTCAAGTTTAGTCTTTAATTGTATATCTTTTGTATTTTATATTTTCATAATTATTTGTTTAATTTATAATTGTTGTAAAATCTATATACTTAGTGTATGTCAAAACCTATATACTCATTAAGATCTTTTGTTTATTAGTCATAATTAAGTATTTTTAAGTTTTTAAGATCATAAAGAGAAGTTTTAGGCACCAGATTAATATACTAGGAGAGTCTTAAGTACTAACTACAATCTATAAGGGCAATTAATCCCGAAGATATAATATGTTTTGAAAATACAAAAAAATAATGTTAATTATAAATATGATCATAGTTTGCATATCACTAAAGAGTTTGCAAAGATAAATTGTGTGTTATAGTGTAAACAATATTACCGATATTATGTGCTCTTAGTTTTTTAAAAATAAATCAAAATTATCTAGAATTTAAAATAGACAATTTAGATCAATATGAACATCAAAACAATATGATGTTTTACTATTTTATGAAGTTATGATAAGTTACAAGAAGTTAATTAACGAAGAGATGGTGAGAATTTATACTGATTCATTTATTGATTTGAATGTCAATTTATAGAATACATTTTAAGAGACAAACAAAAATCAAAAAGTTATCTTAATCTAAAAAGTTGATTCTAAATTGGGAGTTTTTTTGATAAATTCATTTTCTAAGAGCTTTATTCCATCCAATCCATATTCTTTTTAACTATTCCATTAGGTCCAATTTGAGATAAGAAGACCAAAATACCATTTTCATCTACTTATGTTCTATTTAGTTCACATTATTTTCTTATATTTCAATAAGTCCTATGGGTGACATAATTACCAAAATACCCTTAATGTGAATGTTCACATCGTCAACATAAATATTCATATCGTCAATGTGTAGGGGCCCAGCCCATGTCGATCCTCGTGGGTGCCCGGAAAAATTCGAGTCGGGCCGGGCCGGCCCACAGGCCAAAAAAATAGGCCCGGCTCAGCTTGTTGATAATATGAATATTCACATTGACAAGTTAACATTCACATTGATAGGAGTGTAAAATTGGTCTGCGGCCCGTGGGCGGCCCGAAACCAGCCTGCCGCCCGGGCGCGGCCCCGGACCGGCCCGTTCACAATGTGAATATTCACATTGACATATTAGCATTAACAATAACATTGACAAGAGTGTAAAATTGGCCCATGACCCGTGGGCAACCCGAAGCCCGGGCCCGGGTCGGGGCGGGCCCGGCCCGTTGACAATGTGAATATTCACATTGATATGTTAACATTCACATTGATAGGAGTGTAAAATTGGCCCGCGCCCCAACGGGCCGGGCCGGGTCGGCCCGCCCTGGACTGCTGTCCAGTTTTATACTCTTATCAATGTGAATGTTAATATGTCAATGTGAATATTCACATTGTCAACGGGCCGGGCCGGGTCGGCCCGCCCTGGACTGCTGTCCAGTTTTATACTCTTATCAATGTGAATGTTAATATGTCAATGTGAATATTCACATTGATATGTTAACATTCACATTGATAAGAGTATAAAATTGGCCCGCGGCCCATGGACGGCCAAAAGCCCGCCCGCTGCCCGGAGCGGGGCGGGCCCGGCCCGGCCTGTTGACAATGTGAATATTCACATTGACATATTAACATTCACATTGATAGGAGTGTAAAATTGGCCCGTGGCCCGTGGGCGGCCCGAAACCCGCCCGCTGCCAGGGCGAGCCCGGCCCGACTCGTTGACAATGTGAATATTCACATTGACATATTAACATTAACATTGATAAGAGTGTAAAATTGGCCTGTGACCAGTGAGCAGCTCGAAACCCGGCCCTGGGCTGGGGCGGGCTCGGCCCGTTGACAACGTGAATATTCACATTGACATATTAACATTCACATTGATAAGAGTGTAACATTAGCCCGTGCCCCATGGCTGCCCGAAATACGCCCACGGCCCGTGGGCGGCACGAGGCGGGCCCGGCCCGGCCTGTTGACAATGTGAATATTCACATTGACATGTTAACATTCATATTGATAAGAGTGTAAAATTGATTCGCGTCCCACGGGCGGCCTGAAGCCCGTGGGCGGCCCGGGTTTGGGTCCGGGCCTATCCCGGGCTGCGGGCGAGCTTCAGGCAGTAAACAAATTTTACACTCCTATCAATGTTAATGATAACATGTCAATGTGAATATTCACATTGTCACGGGTCGGGCCAAGCCCGCCTCGGGCTGCGATTAGGCTTCAAGCCGCCCACGGGCTGCGGGCCAATTTTACACTCCTATCAATGTGAATGTTAACATGTCAATGTGAATATTCACATTGCCAACGAGCCGGGCCCGCCCCGGCCTGAGGTCAGGCTTCGAGCTGCACACGGGTCACGGGCCAATTGTACACACTTATCGATGTGAATGTTAACATGTCAATGTAAATATTCACATTGTCAACAGGCCGGGCCGGGCCCGCCCCGGGCCACCCATGGGCCGTGGGCGGGTTTCAGGCAGCCACGGGGCGCAGGCTAATTTTATACTCCTATCAATGTGCATGTTAATATGTCAATATGAATATTCACAATGTCACGAGTCGGGCCAAGCCCGCCTCGGGCTGCGGTCGGGTTTCGGGCCGCCCACGGGCTGCGGGCCAATTTTACACTCTTATCAATGTGAATGTTAACATGTCAATGTGAATATTCACATTGTCAACAGGCCGGGCCCGGCCGGGCCCCTCCGGGCAGCGGGCGGGCTTTTGGCCGTCCATGGACTGCGGGCCAATTTTATACTCTTATCAATGTGAATGTTAACATGTCAATGTGAATATTCACATTGTCAACGGGCCGGACCGGGCCCGCCCCGGGCCGCCCATGGACTGCGGGCGGGTTTCGTGCCACCACGGGACGAGGGCCAATTTTACACTCCTATTAATGTGAATGTTAACATGTCAATGTGAATATTCACATTGTCAACAGGCAGGGCTGGGCCCGCCCACGGGCCGTGGGCGGGTTTCGGGCAACCATGAGGTGCGGGCTAATTTTACACTCCTATCAATGTGAATGTTAACATGTCAATGTGAATATTCACATTGTCAA